AATGACTGATTACACCTTTAACTATGGATGCAGAAAAACCCAGACAGAGACCATTAACTACAAGTTAATCTGATTGGTGTCCTATTAGCTCTTTAAATATCTCTCAACTCATTCATCCTATTTTAGATCTTCAACCTCCAGAGTGTAACTGGCAAAGGATGTCAAAATTGATTATATGGATCTAGTCTCCAACCCTTCAGATGCCACCCAATGAAGTTATACGTCTCAATTACATCATTATTGAAAGATAGGATTGCTATTCCAAAATGCCTTTAAGACTTGTATTAGCTTCCCAGGGCTACAGACTTGTTACAAATTACCACATACTTGGTGCCTTAAAACAAGAGGAATCTATTCTCTCATAGTACTCAAGGAAAGAAGTACAAAATCAAAGTGTTAGTACTTCGATTTCCAAAGACTCTAGTGGACAAGCATTTCCTGCCTCTTGCACCTTCTGGCAGATGCAGCCATTCCCTTTGGCTTATGGTTGTATAATTCTACCTCTGCCTCAGTCTTCACATGACCTTTTCTTCTGCTGCCGCATCTCTCCTCTGTGTCTTTTATAAGGATTTTTGCTAGTGGATTTAGGACCTATCCAGGATAGTGTAAAATGATGCCATCTGGAGATCCTTAACTTAATCATATTTGCAAAGACTCTTCCTCCAGATAAGATCAGAGCCACAGGTTACAGGGATTAGGGTGTGGAAAGATCTTTTTGGAGGCCACCATTCTACCCATTACAACACCTATATATTAGGTCAAATCTCTCTGATGGTGTGAACTCCTTTTTCAATAACTGGTAAATGGAGAGAAGACAAATTTTAGAGTGTAAAGGGATCTTGAGATGCCACACTTTGAGAATTAGCCATGAGCTGGATAATTGATTTTTCAGCCCTTTTTTTCTTTTTCAGTAGATTTATTGTAAGTCATAAATGTCAAACTAATTATTGCTTTCACTGCAGCTACTATCTTTTGATATGTAGCAGTTTTATATCATTCAATTAAAAATATTTTCCTTTTCAATTATGACTTCTTTCACCTATGGGTTATTACATAATATTTTTAATATCCAAAAATATGCACATTTTGAGTTCCCTTTTGGATTAGATTTCTTGTTTAATTCCATGTGGTCAAAAATAAACAAAATATATTGCACTCTTTTGAAATGTGTTGAGACTTGGTCATAGTCAATCATTCGGTCACTTATTCTAAACTTTCTTTATTCTTAGGGGAAAACAGTATACTTTAAATACACACACACACACACACACACACACACACACACACACACACACATTCCTTGAATATATAAAGCCTTTAAACATTAACTTCCATTTACCCATTTATTTCCTCCAGTAATACCTTTACCCAAAATTTATCTGTATTTTGGGTCTTTTTGTTTAATTTTTAACCTCACCTTAGGTTATTATAACTTTTCAATATAAATCATCTTTAATCATATTATCTACCAATTTTTTTAAAAAAATTTTAATGTTTATTTTTGAGAGAGAGAGAGGGAAAGAGTGAGTGTGTGCGCATGCAAGTGGGGGAGGGGCAACGGGACAGAGGGAGACACAGAATCCAAAGCAGGCTCCAGGCTCTGGGCTGTCAGCACAGAGCCTGACACGGGTCTCGAACCCTCAAATTGGGAGATCTGAGCCAAAGTCAGACCCTTAGGTGACTGAGCCACCCAGGTACTCCTCTATTTACCATTTTTTTGTTCATCATGCTACTTTTACTTTTGGACATTCCCTCTAGGAATTATTTTTCCATTCCTGAAAAAAAGATTGCTTTAGAATTTCCTTTAGAAAAATCTTTAGGTGATAAAGTCAGACACTGTGTGTTTGATAAGGCCATTACTTTAATTTCAGTTTGAAATATTTTTTTTTCCTGAGTATATAATTCCAGATTAGTACTTGCTTTCTTTCAGATTAAAGTTGTTGTTCCACTGTTTACTGACTTCCATTATTGCTAATGAGGAGTGTGCCAACCTATGTTGCTTTTCCTCTATTAATATTTACCTTTTAAAAAAATTATGTAACTTTTTCATAATTTGTCTTGGTGTATATTTCATCCTTATATGTTATGTCTGGAATTTGTCAGACTCCCTTAATGTATGGGTTGTTATCTTTTCTCTTAGCTTTTAACTCTTCAAATATTGATTGTATACCAGTCTCTCATTTCTCTCATTTAATCTCTTCTGGAATTCCTATCAAATATATGTTAGATTATCTGATTCTTTATGCAAGATCTCTGGGTCTTCAATCATGTCTCCTATAGATTTTCATGATTTCCTTTCCTGCTTATGGCTGATTTCATCTGATCTATCAATCAAATCACAAATTCTTAATTCTATTCTCAGAATCTGCTAGTACATATCCAACAGATTTTAAAGTTCAGTTATGTTTTTATTAAAGTTCTATTTGCTCCTTATTTACACTAGCCGTATCATTTTTATAGTTTCCTGTTTCCTAGAGATATTTTCAATAATACGTTATAAATCAACTTACATATAGCTGGTTTAAACTCTATTTTTGACAGTTCTAACATTGGAAGTCTTAAGAAGGTATGTTCTGTAGTATTTATTGGTTTTGTTAATATTTAAACATTATTGTGTGTTTGGTAATCTTTGATTGCTGGACCTTATACTTGTAAAGTTATTTGTAGGAAGACCCTGAAACCATGGATGAATGTGCTCTCCTCTGAAGAGGATTCGCATTTACCTAAGGACTAGGGACTTAGTAATGCTTGTCTAAAAAACAAGTTCAGGTTTTGAGAGTCTTTCGCCCTGTATTCTATGTGCACCCAGGGAAAGTATAAATCCTAGGGAGGGGATGCATCTGTGGTCATTACCTCCCAGAGAAGGTATGTGTTTGTTTTATTATTCCCCTTCTTTCCTCCTGTGTCAATATTGTCAGATCTGACCAGCATTTTTGCTTATTTGTTTTTATAACTTTATTGAGATACAATTCATATAGCAATAATGTGAGGAAAGGGAATTTAAATCCTTTGCATGTGAATATGCATGTATCTCTGCATTATTTGTTCAAAAGGCTGTTCTTTTGCAAGTAAATTATTTTAGCTGCATATCAATTGACCATAAATGCACGGGTTTATTTCTGGGCTCTCAATTTTATTCCTGTAATCAATAGGACTGATATCAAACCTGATATCAGTCACACATTGTTATGACTATTGTAGTTTGTAATAAGTTTTGAAATCAGGAAATGTTCCTGATTTCCAACTTTCTTTCTTTCCAAGATTGTTTTGGTTACCCTGCATGCCTTGCCTTCCATTATGAATCTCACATCAGCTTGTCAATTTCTACAAAAAAGCAGCTGGGATCTTTGTAGATCTTGTGTTGTCTGTACATAAAATTGAAGAGCATTTCCATTTTAGCCAAATGGTGACAATCAATAAATAAGCATGGGATGTCTTTGCATTAATTTAAGTTATTGCAAGGCTGTTGGGTTTTCTTTTTTTTTTCTTTTTTTTTAATATTTATTTATATTTTGAGAGAGACAGACAGACAGACAGAGCTTGAGTGGGGGAGGGGCAGAGAGATAGAAACAGAATTTTGAAGCAGGTTCCAGGCACTGAGCTGTCAGCAAAGAGCCTGACATGGGGCTTGAACCCACAAACCATGAGATCATGACCTGAGTCAAAATTGGACACTTAACTGACTGAGCTATCCAGGAGCCCCAAAGTTGTTGGTTTTCAAGGCTACTGCAGGCTTTGGAAGATGTAAGGGAGGAGTGCAAGCTAATAGGCCATGAATCTTGCTATTCTTACCAAAACTCAGTAATTGTTCTTGATGAGACACTTCTTGGAATTTTTTGCAAGCTTTTGGTTAATTTCAGAATCCTGGAAGAGTTGATTTTGAAAATTATTGTCATTGTTTTTATGGCTTTTACTGAGAAGTGAATTTTTGAAGGCCCTTACTTTACCATTCCAGAATTGTTTCTTTTATTTTTAATGTCATTTTGGCAAGGAGAGAATTGTAGTCCAGATATAATGGCCCCTTACCTAACGTCATTGTCCCATCTAATCTACCTCATCGAAATGAGATATCTGATAAAACTTTCTATCCCAAGGGGCTGTCGTCACAATCTCTGCTGTATAGACATATGCCTATGTAATACAATAAATAACTCTAATGCTCAAAAACTGTCTTATCCCTTTGATCACAGCCTTCATGCAAAAATTGTCCTTTGAGTTTTTCATTGTGTTACATTATCAGATCTTCAATAATATGAAGAATATATTTCAAAATGTATTTTATGCAGCATTGTTTATTATCAGTGAATGGAACAATCCCTGCAGACAGATGAGATCTCCTCAGGTGAAGATATATGGAGAGAATTTTAGCAGAGAAAATTAAATCGGGGCAGGGGGGGAAGTAAGTTTGAAAAAATATATATTTTTTTCTTTTCTGACTGTGTATAAACAAAGAAGTGAAAATGCCTTTAGTGCAAATGAATAAGGACAGTGGTTGCAAAAATGTGACAGTGACAGAGGAAAGAGCAAGCTCAGTGATGGCTTAGGAACTGATGACCACATATACTCTTTATTCCCTCAGTCACTTAACCATTATCATTAGCTGCACTATAATTTGTAAATGATTACAAAGCATGAAAAACATTAAAAAACACACAACTGATTGTGTCAATATATGATCCTTAAAATAATTAAGATCATTTAAATCAACATTGTCAAAAGTCGTTCTACTAATTTCAAAAGGGACTCATTATGAAAAAAAAAAGAAAAAACTTAGGAAACACATTATTTTCTTTCTCTACGATTTCACAATGACAATACCCTATAAATAAAGGCTTCCTAAATTTATTTATACTATTCTAATTGAATAGTATTTACTTTAGGAAAATATGGTTTGGTTATTATATACTAGATCATTCTGCTTCTCTAGGTTTTAAATAATATGTTTAATTTTTGAGGAATTTTAACATTAGAACACCAACACATTTTATCTTGTTTTTTAGATTTTATGTGACTGTTTACGAATTGAAATTTTATTGAAGAAGACACCTGGAAAGCTGTGTCATCTGAACTAAGGTCATTGAATCCTTGTGAACAGATGTTATTTGCAATGGTGCTGTGGTTTTCATCTTGAAAAGGTATTATGAGAGTAAGAATTCTACAGAAAGTATACAAAGTCAAGTTCACAGAAAGTTTAATGCTTATAATAGACTCACTCAAGAGACTAATGTACATACTATGTATTTATCTGTCAGTAATATTTTATGGCCATGTGTTTCTCTAAGATAAATAAAGCCCATTGGTATGAATTATCACTCTCTCCAGAGTCTGAAAGTTTGGAGAGACATTGAACCATAAGAAGTAGCATTTTTTTCTCTTTTCATACAACAAAAAAAAATTTTTAATTGTATGTAATAAGCTTGAGAACTCAATTCTCCACTCGGAGAAATGTTTATCTGGTTTGACCAAGTTAATATGAATTTGGAAGTTATGATAATTAGTTCTATGCTTTAATAAAATATTTAACTATTTTTTAAAAACTGCAAACTTTCAGATAATTTTAACATTTTTTTGCTTTGCTAATCATTATCATTTTGATATTTAAAAGCAATTCAGGAAAATAGTCATGTCCAGTATCAATGTGAAAATTATTCCAAAGTTTTTTCTGTGGAGGTTATTTTCTCCTACATACTTTGATAACTGAATCCAACTGATTATATATATATATATATATATATATATATATATTTTTTTTTTTTTTTTGCATTTTATTTCACCATACTTACCTTTTACTACGACCAGAACAACTGAAAATGCCAACACTTTAAAACACAAAACCACATATAAGGTATTTTGCCTGAATATTTGCCTTTATTAAAAGTAAAGACTATTTATATAATTAGAAAATATATCTCATATTAAAAAGATCTAAAGAGGGGCGCCTGGGTGGCGCAGTCGGTTAAGTGTCCGACTTCAGCCAGGTCGCGATCTCGCGGTCCGTGAGTTCGAGCCCCGCGTCAGGCTCTGGGCTGATGGCTCAGAGCCTGGAGCCTGTTTCTGATTCTGTGTCTCCCTCTCTCTCTGCCCCTCCCCCGTTCATGCTCTGTCTCTCTCTGTCCCAAAAATAAATAAAAACGTTGAAAAAAAAATTTAAAAAGATCTAAAGAAATAAGTGTCAAGAGTTTCACATTCAAGAATTGCCATGGAGAAATAATTTACTTCAATTTATTTTTGAATAAAGGCTTTATGGAACAAATAGCCACCTCAGAGCTAGGTCTTGATATTTCAGAGTGTATTATTTTCAACATCTCTTGAAAGCAAATTTCATCCACCCTTTAGATGAAAAATTTTAGACATTTTGGGATAATAAATGGCCATTAATTTAAATGAAATTTCTGAGTCACCTGAGGATAATTGTCCCAAAAGCATTAAACTGAATAACTTTATGATATTAAACATCCTTATTTGATAAGCTGATATTCAGTCTACGGCCATACCATCCTGAATGCACCCGATCTCATCTCAATAAGCTGATATTCAGATACCACTAATTATATCTTCTTTATGTGCCTCTGTACAGAGAAACAACTTTTTGACCTCTGAATCTTTCTGATGATAATATATACCTGAGATTTCAGTGACCGTTCTTGCTCCAATCAAATTCAGATTTATCTTACATCTCCCTACTATTCTCTTAGTTTTCTCTAAATCAAAGATAATGTACAAATTATATTTCATTGAACTACTTAATATTAATCTTTGCCAATTCTCCAATTCAGATGCAAAAAATAAAATATACAGTATTTTTCATTGATAAAGTTTTGATAAAGCAAGAATATATCTGGATGTATTATTGTTAAGGCAAAAAGCCTATTAATAAATTGTTTCAAAGAATGTCCTTCAATTTATTTCCTCTATGTCCTTCAATGCCCTACATTTCTGTATAATATTTAGTGTATAAGTAATAGGAATTATATTTCTTATGAAACCTGACTGTTTTGTTGTAAAATCTCTTAGCTATATCTGAGAGAATTAACACTGAGAAGCCACTGAAAAACAACTTGTTTTCTGAGAATATTGTTTTTATACTGAGATTCCAACATTGGTCTTTTCTTATTTTTAGTATCACATTGTGACCTTCTCCTCTCCCTCTTATGAATATAAGTTGCAATTTAGGTTAACTCAATTCAATCTCATGGTTTAAATTGCCTTCTATATACTGATATAACAAGTCCTATTTCTATGACTTCCTTTACTGTCTCTTACTGACCCCTAAGTTCAATAATTACTCCTCAAACTTGCCTTATTTGATGATTCCTGTAAGAGAAACATAATGCTAAAAATCTGAGAATTATTTTAAAGCAATTCTCTCTTCTTTATTACTCAAATATTAAAGTTTATGTCCTATAATTTTTCATTCTGAGTGCTTCCCTGAGTTATCCAATCCTTTTGGTCCCGCTTCTATAATCCAGTCAGAACTTCATTATTGTTTGCTTTGACATGTATAAAAGCTACCAAATAATTTACCCATTTCCAGTTCCTTTCTGTCTACAGTAATCTATTGAAGACACTAATATTTTTAAAATATGGATCTGATTAACATTTTCTCTTGATAATTATAAAATAAATTATCTTTAATTGTTTATAAAATAAATGTCATTCATATTCAGGCCCCAAAGCTAATGTTCCATACTGGTATTTCTGAATCAGTCCTTTTCTAATCAATCTCCAGCAAGTTCAAACACTTGCTATATTTTGGTCTCATGTTTTCATGTAGTTGATTATATTTTGTTTTCTACACAAAATATATTTCTATCTAAAAATATAACCCTACCCAACATCTCAGGTCATGCATTATCTTTGTAAAGCCCTCTCTTTTTTTTCTTCCTTTTTTCTTGTTCTTGTTGTTCATGGAATTAATTGCCTTTCCCTGTGCTTTCATAGTATTTTGTGTATCGCTTGGCTACAGCACTCATCACATATTAGAGTGAGTAAATTTTGTTTTTAATTTGCAGTACGAAGATTTATATATTACTCATATTCATAGTATCACCCAGAACAATGTTTATTTAAAAATACACATTGACTGGGGCACCTGGGTGGCTCATTCGGTTACGCATCTGACTTCAGCTCAGGTGATGATTTCATGGTTCGTGGGTTCAAGCCCTGAGTCAGGCTCTGTGCTGATAGCCCAGCAGCCTAGAGCCTGCTTTGGATTCTCTGTCTCCCTCTCTCTCTGCCCCTTCCCCGACTCGTGTTCTCTCTCTTTCAAAAATATATAAACATTAAAAACAATTTTTTAAACACACATTTACTTAGTTTTTTTTTTTTAATTTTTTAATCTCATGAGGGGTCTTGACCTCAAAGGTAGATATTGTTTTATTTCCATTTAAATGCATTCCAAATGACAAAAGAAGCAAATGTTGCTTATAGTGAAGAAATATATTGTTCATTTAGTTAAAATCATAGCTACCACCTACATAACTTAGCCCCCCTTAAAGTTTCTGAGTACATCTGAATAATTAGTAAGTGATTTGTTAATATGTACAAATAGCTATATGCTCACAATAGCATTATTGAGTGAAAACAAACTGCAAAAAAGCAAGAAAAAAGGGGCAAGAGTCCCAGTCTTTGGATAAAAATTCAGGGAAATTATGCCTCTGGTTAGCACTCTAGACACAGGAAATATTTTAATGTGCTTCCTTTTCTCTAAGGTCTCTTGTTCTTCATTCACTTCAGGAAACCTTGGCCTTGGCCTTCTTGCTAATGCATCTTAGCTAAGCTTAAAGAAGGTACTATGATTTTTATCAGTAAAGCTATCTCATTTCTTCCTCTTTTTAACAAACCTATGAACACAAATCAAAGAGTCAAAAACATGCATTTTAGACTAAACACAAGAAACAACAGATGTTGGTGAGGACGTGGACAAAGGGAAACTCTCTTATACCATTGATGGGATGCAAACAGGTGCAGCCACTCTGGAAAACAATATGGAGGTTCCTCAAAAAGTTAAAAATAGTTACCCTACCATCTTGCAATTGCACTACTAGGTATTTACCCAAAGAATACAAAAATATTTATTCAAAGGGATACATGCACCCCAATGTTTATAACAGCATTATCTACTATAGCCAAATTATGGAAACAACCCAAGTGTCTGTCCATCAACAGATGAATGGATAAACAAGAGGTGGTATATATATACAATGGAATCTTAGCCATAAAAGAGAATGAAATTTTGTCATTTGCAACAACATGGATGGAGCTAGACAGTATTATGCTAAGCAAAATCAGTCAGTCAGAGAAACATCAATACCATATGATTTTATTCATATGTGGATTTAAGAAATAAAACAAGCCAAGGTTAAAAAACAAGAGAGAGAGACAACCCAAGAAACAGACTGTTAACTATAGAGAACAAACTGAGTTACCGGAGGGGAGGTGGGTGGGGGGATGGGTGAGATAGGTGATGGGGATTAAGGAGGGCACTTGTGATAACACCAGGTGTTGTATGGAAACACTGAATCACTACAATGTACACCTGAAACTAATATTACACTGTATGTTAGTCAACTACCTGGAACTTAAATAAAAACTTAAAAAACATGAATTCTTAAAGCATGAAGTAGATAAGAAAAGGGAATAGAACAAGGGTCTCCTCATTCCAACTTTTTAATGTTTACAAAATGTCTTCTTAAGCTTGGAAGATACTAAATGTATACGAAATTAATGTAGGATTTTTAATGTGCAAAGTTACATATGAATATATACCATTGTAATTGACAACTATAATAGATTTGAAGCAGTCCTGTCACTTCAAAACTTAAGTGTAGGTTCTTAAATATTTTAGAATTACTGGAGAAATTTCAATTTCCAAATTTCAATTGGATAGATCATTTCCAATAAATTCATAATTATCTGAGGAATGTGAACTGCAATTTACAATGACTGGAAAATGTTTTAGCTCTTTTTCTTAAACTATCAAAAGCTTTAAATTATTTTTATTTTTCTTTGAGTATATCATTTTTAAATGTTTCCACTTCATATTTACATTAATGAGAGTTCAAGGCTTAAGGAACTTCAGCTATCCACAGTGTTTCATTACTATTTATCTCTGGCAGGAGAATACATGCATATCTAACACAGTGTTTATGAGTTCCAAATATATGATGCCAGAAGTTGACGGAATGAAGGCAAATTCTCAAAGATTTTCCTGTCTTCAAAATGTGATCTTAAAAGCCACTGACCGCTTCTTAATGCATTGTCATATTGCTTTCTTTTTGTAACATTTTCTAATTTTCTAAATTTGAAAGTAAGCATGTTTTCTATAGCAAGCTAAAAGAAAGAGATGACAGAAGAAGTTAATAGTATGTCTTTACCTAACTTCCCCAAATCTAGTCTCTTAAAAAAATAACTGTAACAGTTTGGTGTATATATACCTAGACCTATGTCCTATAATCATATAAAATATATACATATTATCTACTTATCTATCCATCTATCTACCCATCAAGATAGCTCTTCATTAATGTTTAATGAAGCACAACACACATACATATGATGTTAATAAATATACAACTCGACTAATTATCACAAGCAAATACACATATGACCATCACCCAAACAATAAAACACTGAGCCCCCAGAAGCTGCCTCCTATTCTTATTAATCACCATCTCTAGCCACATTCCAAGGTTACTTGCTATGCTGATTTCTAAGACTATATTTTATTTATTTTTTTTAACGTTTATTTATTTTTAAGACAGAGAGAGACAGAGCATGAACAGGGGAGGGTCAGAGAGAGAGGGAGACACAGAATCCAAAACAGGCTCCAGGCTCTGAACTGTCAGCACAGAGACTGACGTGGGGCTCGAACTCAAGGACCGTGAGATCATGACCTGAGCCGAAGTCGGACGCTTAACCGACTGAGCCACCCAGGCGCCCCTATTTTATTTTATTTTTTAATGTTTTACTTATGCTTGAGAGAGAGAGAGAGAGAGAGAGAGAGAGAGACAGCATGAGCGAGGGAAGGGCACAGTGAGAGAGGGACACAGAATCCAAAGCAGGCTCCAGGCTCTGAACTGTCAGCACAGAGCCTGACACAGGGCTCTAACTCACGACCAAAACATCATGACCTGAGCTGAAGTCGGATACTCAACCTGAGCCACCCAGGTGCCCCTCTAAGACTATATTTTAACTTGCTCTGATTTTTTTGGAAACTTACATTGCAATATTTATTAAGTATGCATATTTTTGTGTCTTCAATATGTTGATGACATATAATTGCTACACAGAGTGTTATTTTATCAATTTTGATTGTTCTTTGTTATTCCACTGTATGATATTCCACAATTTATTCATTATCCTAATATTGTTGGACATTTGGAATGTTTCTGGTTTAGGACTTATGGGCTGAACTGTGTTACCCGCCCCCCCACGCCCAGTTCACATGGTGAAGTCCTAACCCCCAGTATATCAGAAAATGACCTCACTGAAAGGTCTTTGCAGAAGTAATCAGGTTAAAATACAGCCATTAAGGTGATTCCTAATCCAATAAAAATGGTGTCTAATAAAAAAAAAATGGAAATTTGAACACACACACACACACACACACACACAGAATGTAAAGATTGAGGCAGCAATCTGGGTGATACCTGTACAAGCTAAAACTTGCCAAAGATTGCCAGAAAACCACAATAAACTAGATAAGAGACATAAAAAAAGATTATTTCTTATAGCCCTCAGAAGGATGCAATACTGCCAATTCCTTGATATTGGACTTTAACTTTCAGAACCGTGAGACAATAATTTCTGCCGTTTAAACCATCCAGTTTGTGGTACTTGTTATGACAACCCTAGTAAACTAATACTGGATTATTATGAATAATGCGGCCATGAACATTGTTGTGTAAGTCCTCTTGTCCATATAAACATGAATTTATATTGGGTATACAGATATGAGTGCAGTTGTTGTGTCATAGAGAATTTACACGGTCAACGTCAACAGATAATGCCACTTATCAAAGTGTCTATGAAAATTTACTACCAGGAGTATGAAAAGATTCCCATTTCTTTATATTTTCAATGTGACAAGGAGCTGTAGTATATTTAATTTTATCCATTTTGATGGATGTTTTATGGTATATCATAATGATAATAATGAACATTACCATTTAATCTCATTACTGAGATTAAACTCTTTTCATATGTTTATTAGACACTTTTTGATATGAAATTTATTGTCAAATTGGTTTCCATACAACTGTTTATTAGCCATTTAATACATTAAGTGAAGCACCTTTTTATATCTATTGCCCACCTTTCTTTTCAATTTTTGTTTCTTATTATATTGTATAGATCCTTTATTTTTTTAAAATTTTTTTTCAACGTTTTTTATTTATTTTTGGGACAGAGAGAGACAGAGCATGAACGGGGGAGGGGCAGAGAGAGAGGGAGACACAGAATCGGAAACAGGCTCCAGGCTCCGCGCCATCAGCCCAGAGCCTGACGCGGGGCTCAAACTCACGGATCGCGAGATCGTGACCTGGCTGAAGTCGGACGCTTAACCGACTGCGCCACCCAGGCGCCCCTTGTATAGATCCTTTAAATATTCAAGAAAAAAGATTGCCTCTTCTATAGCTTATAAATAACTTCTCTGTCTCTTTCATTTTCATTCACTTAATCGTTTTTTTAATAAACAAGTTTTAAATTTTAATGTAGTCCAGTTACTTCAAGAAAACAAAGAAAACAAAATTTGCCAGACCCGCATATCCTTAAAATATTCTCCTTTTGTAACTTCTAGAATATTATTTTATGCTTTGCATATAGTTGTGTATGTGCGTGTGTGCGTGTGTGCGTGTGTGTGTGTGTGTGTGCATGTGATAAACAGTGGTCAGTTTTCTTCAGTTTGCGTATGGATATCTAATTGGCCCAGCATAGTTTTTAATACAGAATCAATCTTTGGTAATATACTTGTTTTAAATCAATTTCCACATATGCATAGCTCTATTCCTGGACTGTCTCATTAGCTCCAATCTTCTATGTGCGTATTCTTGTATTAGAAAAAGCTACCTTGGGGTGCCTGGGTGGCTCAGTTGGTTAAGCATTAGACTTTGGCTCAGGTCATAAACTCATGGTTCATGAGTTAGAGCCCTGCATCAGGCTCTGCACTGACAGCTGGAAGTCTGGAGCCTGCTTCAGACTGTGGCTCCCTCTCTCTCTGCCCTTCCCCCATCTGTGTTCTCTCCCTCTACCTCTCCCTCTTCCCCTCCCCCCCAAAATAAATAAAAATTAAAAAAAATTTTTAAGTTACATTAATTACTCTACCTTTATAATAAATCTTTATAATAAAGCTTGATTACTCAAGTCCTCAAAATGTTTCCATCTTCTTCAAAAGTGCCATAGCTATTTTTTTCTTGCCTTTTTTGCATCTCCAGAAAATTTCAGAAACATCTTGGTGATTTAGAAATACACACATATGACACATACACGCACACACAAAGCATATACAAACACGCATCCTATTGCAGATTTTGTTTGCTAACAAAATAAATAACTTTGGTAAAGATGGATAGCTTTACAATGTTGAATTTCCCAATCCATTAACAAGTAACTTCCCACATTTCATTCAGTTAAGTTTTTTAATTTTTTTAATGAAATAATTGATAGTTTCTGTGTAGAGGTACTGTATATATTTTCTTTGACTTATTAGTTTTCTTTGGGTTTGTGTTGCAACTGGCAACTTTATTTTTTACTTCATTATTAAAATTTTCACACACAAACATAAAATATTTTTAATTTAACCTGAATCCAGAAAACATGCTAAAGATCACTTAATCTTAAACCATGATCAGATGTTAAATGTATTAAATGTTTTCTGCATTCTATTGCCATGGTTTTTTGGAATATTTAATCTTTATCTCAATTTTGTTACATTGCTTAGATGCATTTTTTTTTATTTTGAAGCAAACTTCTTTTCCTGTAAAAATCTAATTTGGTTGTGATATACTACCTATGTGTGTGCATGTGTGTGTGGTTATACATTGTACACACTGCCAGATTTGATCTGACATTATTTTATTCAGAATCTTTGCATTTATATTCAGAACCGAAACAGGCATTTAACTTTTACCCCCATTTTTTATATCTCTTCCAGGTTTTGTTATATTGGCCTTCTAAAATTTAACAAATTAGGCAGTGTTTTCTCATGTCATATTCTCTGGAAGTTTCAGTGTTGACATTATTTATTCCTTAAATATTTTAAATGGGTCACTGATGATATTTGGGCCTAAAATTTCCTTGTTGGTAAGGTTTTTAATAATGTATTCAATTTGGGGGCACCTGGCTGGCTCAGTCATAGAGCATGCAATTCTCAATCTCAGGGTTGTGAGCTCAAATCCCACATTGGGCATGGAGCCTAGATAAAAACAAAACAAAAATTTTTTTTTAAATAATAATGTATTCGATTCCTGTAATATCTCAAATGTCCTTCATCTTCTTTGTTCAGATTGTTTTTCATTCTAACAGCATTTATCTAGAAATGCCCATTTCATCTAAATTTTCAAATGTACTAATATAAATTTACTTATCAATTTACAGTCATTTTAATTTCAGCAGATATTCCCTTTTTGTTCTACTGATGCTTTTTTTTTTCTCCTTTTTCTTTTATCAATTTTCTTTGTTCAGGTAAGTTTACGACTTTTTAAAGAAATACTTTTTAACTCTTTCTTGGTATTGTATTATTTTCTTTATATTATTAATGTCTGCTCTTGATTCTATAATTTCTTCTTTCATTACATTGAATTTGCTTATCTTTTTTTGAGAACAATGTTAATTCATTTTAACTTTTTCTTTCCCTTTTTCTCTAATGCATGCATTAAAGGCTTCAAATTTTCTTCAAAGCACAGCCTAGATTCATCATGTAAGTTTTGATACATTGTATTTTATTGTATTGGTCTTCTCAAGGGCTAAAATGTCCTATTGTACTCCTTTTTCCATAATCCTCACCCTCAGGCATCTGTGGGTCTCACATACACCAAAAGTGTGCCTACCACTGCCCTCTGTGGCTTCTAGCCTGAAGTCCAAACAAGCCTGCCATTTCTGTGTCAACTCCAAGTCAGGCAAGACATTTACTAGTTCCTTAGGCAGCCTACAGACAAGCCAGAATGTTCCAAAATATTTCTGCTCTGGTTTTTTCATGCCAAGGGAAGGAACTAGGAATTGGACTACTTCCTCCCAACCACACCAACCACACAAGGAAGGGGATTGGGTAAGAGCAAGTGAAAACATCACAAAATATCCTATAATTCTGAATGTGATTTTTATTTGAATAGGCATCACTTTGGTTGCTACAGATTTTTTTTTACTACTTTCCAAAGGTCCTATAAAGTTATTTTTGTCAGTCTCTGGTTATTTATTTGATATTTCAAATAATGAGGACCTGGAGCTTCATATTATACCATCTTGTAGATGCCTACTTTTGATCCCTGTAAGCTTCTTCCCATCCCCATCTTTAGGAAAAGTGCTGATTTTTTTCTACTCTGACAGTATGTTAATAGTAGAACCACTCATGTTCTTTATTTTTATATAACATTATAATCTGACAACAATTTATTGTAATGGGTATTTGAATCTACAATGATTACATGATTTAGATTATTGAAAGGACTCACAGAAGACTGTAATAAATGTAGAGTATATCGCATAACAGGAAAGAAAAAAAATGCAAGCAAACCTAAGGGCCTATGCAAATCTAGATGTGGTTTCCTTGGACCTTTCTTAGTCTTACAGAATGAATTTCACCTCAGGATTATGAACGACAGAAATTTTCATTTCAGAAGAACTCAGGGAAAACTTTTCATAGGAGTCCTTTATGTTCCACAGGCCACCTAGTCAAATAATGCTGTGTAACCATTTAAACCAAGATTAAACTTTCATCTACTCATCCCTAAGTAATGCAAACAAGCTAGTCCTGCTTGTCAGCAGGAGAATTTTTAATTTCAATAGCATTATATAAACTACTATCCAGTTCAGTCTCTCCGCAAACCATGGCCAGGAGCCAGTTCAGACTTTCAGATAATTTTGGAATAAGCATAGTACTCAGTCTTCCATATGACTCGAAAAAAAAGCAGGCTAATTAATTACTCTATCTCATTCCCAGAAATTTGAATTGCAAATAAGAGGTTAATACACATAAAACTGGAATCGTGTTACAGCCATAGACTCTGGAAAAGAGAAACACATTTTACAGAAAGAAAAAAAATGACATGAGGGAAGTACACATGGGAAATGAAAAGAGAGATTCTTTCACTGTAATCTTATTAGATCTCATGCACATTCTGGGAATAGGGATTTCAACCGTCATAATCATCTGCTTCTCATACTCTTCGTGATCAAAGAAATACTGAACAATTGGGGTGGCTGGGTGGCTCAGTTGGTTAAGCCCCCAACTTGATTTCGGCTCAGGTCATGATCTCATAGTTCAAGAGTTTGACCCTGGTGTCAGGTTCTGTGCTGACAGCATGAAGCCTGGCTGAGATTCTCTCTCTCTCCCCCTTTCCCTCTCCCTCGCTAGAGTGCTCTCTCTCTCTCTCTCAAAATAAACAAACATTAAAAAAAAAAAAGAAATACTAAACAATAATGACAAAGACAGTAACTAGGATAGCCTAGGACTTTGTTGCAGTTCATCTGTTGTTTCATTTTTTATTGATGATATCCCATTTCTTCAAGCTGATGTGACTCAGATCACAAGCATTTAGCTGGAAAAATCTGAAGAAACTGTTACAAATTGTGTATATCTGAAATTGATTATGATTGTTTAATTTGACATATACAGGTTAAAATTTGACTATGCATTACTTTAACTTAATGATTTTTAACTTAACTTTTAAAGTAGGATAAGTTCATGGGAATATAAAATAAATTTATAGGAATCACATGAGTGCTCCATGGCTTGTTGAATCTAAGAGGACAGACATAGCCTACTCAACTGGTAGAAGCATCAGGCTTCTCTCATGCTTTAATATTTTTTACTTCCTAATAGTTTTATCATCAAGTAAAGTAATACTATTTTAGAATTGGCCAGTAGTTATCAATTAAGGGCTTATAGAAATCCAGAAGAAAGTTGATGGGCTTTACTATTATTCTAAACACTAAAACAAGTAATAAAGCTAAGTAAATTTTGAATTACTGTATTTCAACTCAGGAAATAAAATAACCAAATTGAAATAGTGTACCAAGAATGCATCTGACTTCTCAGAAAAAGAGCTCTATTTAACTACTATGAATCAAATTATTCAAATGAATCATTATCTTCTCAAAAGACATTGATAGTCCTGATTTTTTCCCCATTAATTATTATACTAAGAACATTTTTTCTTGGAGAGATACTTGATGTCATCTCTTTGTATAAAACCTTTCATTCCATTTAATAATACATTGATAAACATCTAAAATAATTAATAAATGCTAGCAAAATATTCCAAAGAAGACACTCATTAGGAACAGAATTTAATTCATATAAAAGGAACACATTAAATGACTTATTCTTTACCATATAACTTGAAGTATTCATTAGAATCGATTTTCTTACCTTTAGTGTTTGTTCCACTTCATAGACACAATCTTTTTGAAAATTACCATTTTGAGTACTTCTTCATAATCTGTATTTTATTAAATGTTAATGTAATTGAAAAAGGAAATGAACCAAAACAAATTGTTCATAGAAAATGAGACACATTTGAAGTTTTGCGGACACATTTCACTGAATTTTAAAGAAAGATGAAAACATGCAACTTTTCATATTGTCACAAAATCAGAAGATAGGATATGTATATCTTCCATTGCTGAAGGTTTTATTATACACTGGCATTCCTTCTTAGAAATTATATAATTACAGAAGGAAGTAAATTAATCAAAAAGTTGTTTCTCTTTCACAAAGAATGTCTCAGGCAAGGTTTGAGGGAGAGTAAACATATATTGTATTATTCAAAGAATCATGACAATTATTTTAAATATGTATGTGTCACTTAAGACTAGAAGAGATATAACCAAAAACTTATCCAACTTGAAATCAGATCAGTATTTAAATAAGTAGAAATGAATACCCCATAAATACCCCAGTTATAATATTCTCCTGTTTTCACACATTGACACCAAACCTAACTAGAACTAGAATGTGTTGCACTATATCTCTAGAAAGTGAACTCTTACTTTAGATTTACTGTATAATGCTGGGACACATGTTATTTTGAGTTTTCAAATATATGGAATGTAAATAAAATATTTTTAAGCATTAAAGGGAGAGACATAAAAAATTTAAGCAAAAGTATGAAAACTAAATTATCATTAATAAGTCTCCTAAATGGATACTCCTACCCACATGTTCAATAAAAAAGATAGTTATAAATATACATTTCCATTAAATTCAAATCCCTAGAAGTCAATAAAGCTTATACCTAACTGTTTTGCTCACACTGAAACTCAGAACCTTGAAGCTAATAATCAGTTTAGATCTACCTTAACAAAATATCTACATACAATACATAAATCAATTTTTTATTCAAAAAATTTATGAAAAATACATTGGAAAAATTACATTATTTAGTGTAACCATGCCATCAGTTCTCCTTCCAAAAACTAATAATGCATAATTATTATGTCTGTGAGCATAGGTCTGGACAAGCCAGGACTTTGATCTCTCTGTCCTGCATTACTTCAATTCAACATTTATTTATTACTGTGTAACCTACCACTGCCAAACTTAATGGCTTAAAACATTAACAGGCATTTATTTTGCTCAAAAATCTGCAATTTGTGCAAGGTTTGGTATGGACAGTTTAACTTTGTTCCATATGACATCAGCTGAGGCAAACTGACTGGGGACTCTCAGTTTTCAAGATGGCATACTTCCATTGCTGGCAAGCTGATTCCAGAAGTTGGCTGGGATTTCAGCTGGGGTCTCCATCATGGGCCATGGTTTCTATAACTTACTATTTCTAAGAGCAAGGGAAACCAGACTGTGACAATAAGAAATACATATTTGTTCTCTAAACCCAACGCCTGGTCAGAGCTCCTAAAATCACTGTAATTTCCTAAAAGATAAGGATGGTAGGAATATCTTTTGTATAGTATTTGATTTTTATCTGCAGCTCCCAAAACAGTTTCAGAGCAATAAAGGTGAAAGGAGAATCTTTTGTTAATCATAGCAAGCCCCTTTCATCCATACCTAAATTTATGTTAATAAGGTAACTGCTAGAAAGCCCTAAGAATGGTAAGCTGGTTGCCAGAAAAACCAAACACATAATTAAAGGGTTGGAATCAAGGGTTCCAATGTAAGGAATCAAGGATCATGAAATATCAGGTAGATATGATACCAACAAAGGAAATTAATCAAGCTCCAATTACTGACCCTAAAGGAATGGAGATCTATGAATTGCCAAACAAAGAATTCAGAATAATACTCTTAGGGAAGTTTAGTGAACTATAAGAACACACAGATAACTAAACAAAATTTGGAAAATAATGCATGAACAAAAAAAGAGGTGTGACAACCATCAAAAACAAACAGAACCATGAGTTGAAAAATAAAATAACTAAACTGAAGAAGTAAATAGAGTTTCAAAAGTAGATTCATCATAGGGAAGAATCAGAACCATAGAAAAAAGAACACTGAAAATTACCATCAGAAGAGCAAAACAGAAAAAAGAAGAAAGAAAAAGAGTAAAGAAAGCCTACAGGATTTGTGGGACATAAGAGAAAAAAAATCACATTGTGGGAATTCTAGAAGGAGAAGAATGAAGGAGAAAAGAACAAAATGTATATTTAAAGCAATAATGGCTGAAAACATCCCAAAATTTGAGTCAAAATGGACATCCAAATCCATAAGGCCTAAAGGACCTAAAATAGGTTAAACCAAATAGG